AAACCATTTCAGGTGACTACCTCTTGAAGCTCATGGAGAGAATGCCAAGAGTGTGCAAAGCAGTAATCAGAGCAAAGGGTGGCTATTTTGAAGAAACTAGAATATAAAACATGTTTTCAGTTATTTCACCTTTTTTTGTTAAGTACATAACTCCACATGTGTTCATTCATAGTTTTGATGCCTTCAGTGAGAATCTACAATGTAAATAGTCATGAAAATAAAGAAAACGCATTGAATGAGAAGGTGTGTCCAAACTTTTGGCCTGTACTGTATTTTGTCCCTTTGATGCGGGATTTATATAACATGATATTATGCTGAAATGCTGAATTTTCTTTGTCACTTCCGCATTTAGCCTGTCGGCAATATTCCGCCACGCCACATCCCTTACTCTATTAATGGACCAATCAAATCAAAGTCCCGCCCTCAAACGCGATGAGCCAATCACAGTGCGTATAGCCATTCCCATACACTTGGACATTCTCTGCCTGGATGTTCATTGAAATGCATTACAGAATGTCAGTTTTGTTTGGTTTTATGAGCTTTTTTGGAGATTTGAAGTTTAAAAATGGTCAAACGGTGTGCATGGGGTACATGCAACTCCAACACAAGGTATCCTGAGAGGCTGGGTGACGAGGTGTATTTTTTACCCTTTTCTAAACCACATCTCAACCGAGAAAAGTGTCTCCTTTGGATAAAGTTGTGAGGTAACATTAGACCACAACATCAACTCAACATGAATAAGATTAACAAAGATGTCTAAATCTGTTATAAGGTAAGTCAACATTGTGTTTGAGGCAACATATTGTCACTTTGCTGGAAAGAAATATAATTATCTTTAACATCTCTAGCTAACGTTAGCTAACGTTAGCTCATAGCTGCGTTGTTCATCATGCCACCTTGTTTGCTGGGAGTTCATTAGCCTATTTTGTTCTAGTTTTGTACTTTAGTGATCGTACATCATTGTTAGCTGTTGTCCATAGGGCTCTAGTTAAGCTAACATTAACTTCTGGAGCTTAGCTTCATTAACATATCTGTAATAGCAGAGATAACAAAGGTTGGCAAACGTTATGCTGAATGATTCAGTGTAAATACTGTAACACCAAACTAACGGAGAGACACTCTTGGTAAAGATGGTAAGAAGGCCATTATCCTTTTCTCATATTCTGAGCCAAAAACCTTAACTTCAGTGGCACTTTAACTTGTTGTCTTTGATGGCGACGGCAACGAGATGGGGTTCACAAGCGTACGCTGTGACCTGTAAATTTTGGCTTGAAAGTTAAGCTTTTCATCAACCTTCTCAACAATAAAATGATGAATATATCCCTCCAGTGCATAGTTTAGGCCCTTTTGGTTACTTCTCAATGAAATCTGATCATTTTGTCCCCAAAAATTATCAATTGCCTCCCGCGAAATGCCGTGTACTGTGACACCTGCCATTGCGCCGCTCACTGAATGTTGATAGTTTGGCCGAGTGAGTGGAGGGGGGCGTGGCTTAGCCATAGGTCAATTCTAATGACTCCATATTGCTAAGCATATAAAAGCCCTCCTAAAAACTAGCATTCCTATCACTAAAATACCAAAAATGAAACATTATTAAGCTTTTTTTTTGGAGTATGTTGTTTAGTTTATTTGTATAANCTCACTCTTTTCCTTTGCTTTTTGACATTTTGCAACATTTTCGGCACTTGACTAGTGTGGGCTTTTTATTTTCCCTGGGCACGTGCATGAGTTCAGGCTTAACAGGTGAGGCTTGAATTAGCGTCAACTGGAGCCGGCTGATTTCACTTGATGGAACGGGTTGGCACTAGATTGGGAGTTGATGTTTAGTCAAACTTCAAGATTACACCTTAGTCTGGATATTCTTAGCTAAAATTGATGGAATGGGGTCATCCCTGTGTTTCCAGGCTTCTATGTTTCCCGGGTTCTATGTTCCCCACTTAACCCTGCAAAAAAAAAAAAAAACATAGAACCCTGGAAACATAGATACGCTCCTGATGGAATACCCCCCAGGGTACCTTGCACGTAGTATGTGGACGTTGAAAGTCCATGACCAAAACGTCAATATGTGACAAGATCAGAGTGAGAATGTGTTGCTCCTTACTTAAAGTTTTTAGGTTGCATAAGGAGCTTTCTGAGAGTATTCTCAGAATGTTTGTGAATATGGCCCCAGGTCTTACAGCCAAATTCTTTCTAACCCCCAACCCATACATCAAAATGAAGCTTAAAACCTATACTTCTTAGCTGTAGTCTGTGTAAATTTCTCCCATTAAAAAAATTGTGTGAAATATGTACGCAAACAAAGCATCATTGGAATGTAAGATAATTCTCTTCAACTGAAGGATATATTTTCTATACATCTTCACTGTAAATAGTTGCTATTTACAATGCAAAGCACAATATTTTAATTTATAAAACTTTTTTTTTCAGTTTCTCAATCAATCAATGTCACCCAGTTGAAGGGGTGATGGTGAGGTTCCATTTAGATAGCTTATAGGTTGTGTCTACCCGGTCTCATTCCAAAGATGCCAAATATTGGCACCTGGGCAGTGACTTGTGGCGTCAGACACCGACAAAAAAAAGCTGTCCTTTCATGCCGGTATGATGCAAGGGTGGTCATGGTTATTGTGTAACGGCATCCGGCAGCATCGGAGGAAACACGGTGGAACAACACAAGTTAAGGGGGCAAAAGTCAAAGAAAGGGTGGTGGAGGACTCCAACAACCACCACTCCAACTACAAGTTGTGTCTTGTGTTGTTTTGTCTGTATTTTATTGTTGTTTGTTCTTTGCACTGTCACTTGTGTTTTTCTTGCTGAGTCTTTCGTATCTTAAGGCCCAGCTAGGGAGGGCATTGCAAATTAGTTTAGGCTATAAATGCTGTGGTTCCCACCACCATGCTAATACTCTGGTTTCCCAGCAGGGTCATCTCTATTCCAGTGGCTCCACAAGGACCAGCAGGTAGAAAAACACCATCACTATCATTCCTGGGCAGTGGCACTTCTAGCAAGGTTTATTAACAAGGTTTTATTATTTGGCCTCTGAACTGAGAACCACAAGGGTATCCAAAATAACTGTCACAAGATCAGGACTCCTGGGATGTTAATAGCCATGATGGATTCTGATTGTCTCCGCTAGCTGATGTCCAACTGACTGAGTGACTGTGTATTATAGAAACTACTAAGATGTTTAATGTTGTGGGGTATTTGCCGGATTTTAAACCTCTGTCTTGTGAGAAACACTTTCATTCTATCTTCAGTTTTTCATAGTGAGATGAAACTTACAATGACAAGATATGTGTTGAGTTCCCTCAGGGTCTTTAACTATATCAGGGCAATGAATCATACAAGGTACATTTTTGGACTCTTTTATTCGTAGCATTCTGATGTTTTAATCACTGTTTTCTTGTTTACATGTGTACAACATATTTACATTTTCAGTATCTGGATAATTAATAAATTGTTGCCTTATGTTTAGACCTAAGGTGATGACTGAGAATGATCTAAAATAATTCCCTGGGAGTCTGAGATCAACAAATTCTCTGCACCTAGTTGTGACTCGTCTTTTGGAGTTCTGCTCATATTGTCACCTCATTACTTTACCACTGAACACCATCTTTGCTAAAATATTGATACTTGATGTCCATCTATCGATACAATATCACAATACTATACTGTATCAATTTTTTCCCCCACCTCTAATATTTAGTCTATTTTATGCTTCAAGAAACAGATACTTCTCTACACACATGAACACCTACAGCTCTTGCTAATCATCGGCTTTGATGACAAGGGCTGCGGTTGAAAAGTCTCTCCTATCGTCTTTTCCTAACCACTTTTCCTTGACCTTGGTGGAAAACGTCACAATGTCAAGGGAAGATGTGAAGGAGATTTCATAAGGATTTAGGAAAAGACAACTGCGGTGCTGAGAGAATCCGACTGCACTTACACATGGCTACGTAATGATGCGACGGCGGATGTTATTGACGTGGGCCTGCTGTCGTGAAACTACAATGTTCTGAAGATGGACTACAAAAAGTGCATCTTAGATAATGCGCCCCGTACGTCCTCATCGTGTTGATTCATGCAGGATATATAAACGTGGACAACACGAAAGATATTGTTTAATTACTAAGGTCGGAATTGAATTAAAAAAAGGAATATAGGCTACCAGCCAAAAACTGAAACGAAATTGTCACATTGAGAATGCTTGCTCACACTCACCCATCTGAATCCCAAGTAGTAAAATGAATTAATGATATTACTAAAGGCTGGCAATACAACAACGCTCAAATGAATAAATGACTGATGCAAAGTGAACATATGTTACGGTGCGTGTCCCCTCCATCCACAGCTGTGTTCAACTTGTTTGTTTTGTAACAGGATAAACAAATATTAAGTGCATTATTTTGTTTTTCTGTGTGAATAAAAAAATAATGGATAAATAATAATATTAATCATAATATTAAATATAATTATAATAATAATTGCCTGCTGCAAGTATTTAATGACCTCAAGCAGATATCTTTTAACGTTACAGTCTTTGGTATTTTTTGTTATGATCCTTCCACTGTAGCTTTGCAGGGAAACACTGTAAAGGGGAATAAAAAGTGGGAAGCAGTAACTTCATTGATTATTTAAATCTCCAGATACGCCAAGTATATGCACATTTACGCACGAGGCACAGCAACATTACTTCATTGATTATCTATTTTTTTTTTTTTTTTTCAGTTCAATTCAGTTTTATTTATATAGTGCCAAATCACAAAGAAAGTCATCTCGGGGCACTTTACACATAGTGCAGGTCTAGATAATACTCTTGAATTTACAGAGACCCAACAATTCCCCCATGAGCAGCATTTGGAGACAGCGGTAAGGAAGAACTCCTTTAAGAACTTTAACGGGAAGAAACCTCGAGCAGAACCCTGCTCTAGGTGGGCGGCCCCTTTGACTGGTTGGGTTGAGAGGGAAAAGGGGGGGCACAGAGAAGCAGAACATCTATCTATCTATCTATCTATCTAGGCCATAAGCATAGCCAATGCCAATGTTTTGAGATGCAGTAGGGCCAGATAATATAGATATAACAATCAAGGCGAAAAACAAGTAGATTTCTGGTTTTGGTTTAATTTCTATTTCAATAAGCCATTTGAAGACGAAAACGTGAAAAGCAGGTGGATTTCCATTTTTTCTCATTCACATGAAAATCAGAAGATTAAAATAATGCATTGTATATTTGTTTAACCTATTATAAAACAAGTACATGGTGATCTCCTTGCTTTCTCAGTCATGTTGATCTTTTTCTTTCCTAATCATTTGAGTTTGTTTGTGAATGGTGAGTCGCTTGGTCGCTTTAAATATTGGCGCCGCAAGGACTTGTGGGACATAATTATCTCCTTTCCTTTCGTAAAGGATGGTCCAGTGTACCCTATGCTAAAGGAGATTAAAAAGGAAGCATTGAAGCACCTTTCCTTAAAATTTAGAGAATTCGACCAGCTCTTATCATGGCTGCCACTTAGATACTTCCAGGTCATTTCACTCAGTTAAGAACCTTCCTAAGCAAAAAAGACTATTCGACCGCAGCCAAGGTCTGAGAGTTGTCTCTATTTAATTTCTCCTTTTCGTTATTTTCTGTGGCTCCATCTGTTGGTGTCAGTGGTTGTGGTGACTGCTGAGCTTTCACTTTGAACACATCCCACTTCTCAGGAAGCAGTCCTTTGTTGAAGAGCACAGAAACCAGATAGGAGAACAACAAGATGGCAGCAATGGCAGACAGCATGGAGATGGTCTTGACTGGAGAGTACTGGACATAAACACCATCCTCAAGAGTGCATCCTGGGAAATGTATGACTGGTGGTAATCCTAGTGAGGGCTCTCCACTGAGCAGTCTCAACACACATCCCACCAGCAAACCCATCATAGCCCCATAACCATTTGAGATGTTGAAGAAGAGGATGCAGACAAGTTGAGGGAAGATTACGATGTAGGCTAATTCAGCACTAGTGAACCAGAACACCAACATGCTGTTTTTCAGGTTGGACAGTAACGTACCAACCAAGCCCACTACCAACACAGACGCACGGATCACCCACTGACTCTCTCTGTCTGTTGCCTGAAGAAGAAGGTAGAGATGAAGAAAAACAGATTAACAGCAAATAATGGAGACTGTCCTGTTTTAATGTCTCTTGCTGCTTCTTTATCTTATTCCATTTATACTCCCTTGCATTCCATTCCCTTTCTTTCAAAATAAACATCAAACGTGAACAATATATCAAAAAATTCTTTGATGTGATGTACCAAACTGAAAGAACATATGTATTTTTTTACCTGAGGCCTGAGAATGTTCTTGTATATGTTGGAGGTGAAGATAGAAGCGGCAGAAAGCAGCACAGAGTCAACCGATGACATCACGGCAGCAGCCACACATCCAGTACCAATAATGGAGACGAACCATGGGGTGAGGTGCTGCAGGGTGATGGGAAGAACTAGAACTGATTCCCCACGTTCATATGGAGATGGAGAACCATAGGAGGTCAGGTTCCAGTCTGAGGCAAGGACACAAAAGACGGAAACAGTGAAAAATGGTCACATTATTTGTTTGAGGGAATTTGAGAAGACCCTACTGTACATACTAAGTTGTAAAGTTGAATGGCAGAGGAACTGATATCGACCCTTGAGCATATGGCCTCCAGTCTGGTACATGTAATCTACAGTAAGAATATTCTCCTCAACAGCTTGAAATATTAATAAATGAGCTAATCAAATGTGAACAAATAACATATATACACAAAATTATCCATTTGTCAAAAGAAAAGTTGGTGTGATGCATTATGCTAGATCGTGGGAAACTTAACATGTTGTTACATACACCACATCCGGTTACACAGTCCATTAAAATGTTTCGACAAAGTTGAAAAGATAATCCCATGAAAGGATGCTCATAACTTGTGTATTCTTGCTGATACCAAGGGTGTGCCACAGGGATCCACTTTGGGCCCTCTTCTGTTTACAATTGACCTACTGTTTTGTCTCTCTTGTGCTTGAAATTAATCTTCATATTGAAAATAATATTCTATATTGTTTTGCTGATTCTGTCTATGTAGACATTTAGAAGGTGTAACTCTTTTTTAAGCCTCATGCAAAAACAACAAATTCACTGTTTTGTCATCCATAGATATAGATTACATCAATTTGCATATCATTTGAGCCGTAGCAAATGTTTTACTGACTATTTAGAGAAAGTGACGGTACTTGTTGTCATTGTTGTAATTATTGGCATTAGTAGTTCTCTTGTTGTTGATTTATTGTTTTGTTTTCTTTTGTTGTCCTTCTTTCCTAGGATTTTTAGTTTTATATTATTATGTAATGTTTAATTGCGTGGACTCCAGGAAGAGTAGTTGCTACCCTGGTTGTGGCTAATGGGGATTCAAATAAATAAATGAATAAATGGTTCAATATTTGGAAGATTGCGCAACAGAAATATTTTGGCATCTGGCTTAATGATGAAAGCAGCAGTGTGCTATGGTGATCCATTTGTAGAAATGATGTTATGTCCACTCCCACTATTCCACTTTTATGTAAATTACAGGAGATGTTTACAGCATCCAGCCCTTTATTTCAAATGGTAATTGTACAACCTGGGTTTCAAAACCCACCATTTGCTGTGTCTGGTTACTAAATGCCTCAGGCTTGATGAGCAAGTTATGCAAAGTTAAGATGTGAGTGTTTTTTAGTTTCTGTGACTTAACTCTTTACAGGGATTTACAGAGATTGTTCTTTCATGAATACAGGTGCATAATGACATTCTTTTTTGTTTCCCCAGTTTACCCAAGTATGTAGAAGCTATGCATACCTGTGGATGCAGCAGCTGCCCCAAGCAGTATAGGAGGTATCCCAAATGTAGGTAAGATGACAGCAGCAATAAAGCAAGTGATCTTGGCTGTGGATGTGGAAGATGCCGACAAGGTCCTCTGGTGGAGGCACTGATATCCCGTGCTCCCCAGTGCCTTAAAAGGAGAACGGTTATTTGTTTGATTTAATCACTGATGTGTTATCCTCATGAGTAAAAGCTGCAAAATGTCTGCCTGCTGTCAGAAGTGAAGCATCCTTTCAGATGAAACTTAAAATTAGCAGCTACAGTTAGTTAGTCTTACCTTGACATTTATAAATATATTGTTTCAGATAAAAGCCTGTGCCTACAACAGAGGCTCCATCTTATTCTTTATTTAAAATGAAAACAGTCCACTGTGAGAATATTTATGTTATTTATCATCATTCAGATATATATATATATATCATATCAGAAGATATGTATTACAACTGGAGTCTGGATTGCATTTTGTACAGGTCGTATTTTTGCTTCCTTAAAAAAAAAAAGGACTTATCAATCATTATCCAGGTCCGTTTCAGCCCCAGTGTACCAATCCAGGGAGCATGTAAGGTGTTGTTCGTCAGTGTCTGTCCAATGTCCAAAGAGTATGGGTTCATCAAAACAAAGGGAACACAGATCCACTGCAGAGACAAATACAAACGGAGACACACACAATGTTTAAAGACATACTTTGAAGTTTTTGATGCCTTGTGTGAGAGTGGTTTCTGTTTCCTTCAAACAAATAGACTGACACTATAAATACTTGAGGTATAGCAAACTTACCAAGCTGACGAATAAGAGCACAAGCTGTATAATATCTGTGTAGGCCACAGAGTAGAGACCTCCCAGCAGTGTGTAGGTAATGGCAACGGCAGCAGAGATCCAGATGCACACAGTGTAGGACAAATCCAGGACCACACTCATAATTCCTCCTGCCAAACAAAAAATGGATGGATGGATGGATGGATGGATGGATATTCATTTATGATGTACACTGTTACATGGACGTATGGTGCTTACAGGTCTGTATATACTGTACCTAATCCAATTAGTATTGTGGGAACCCACAGTAGATCCATAATAAGACCAGCCATAGTTAGTCCAGCTGTTACTGATTTTCCATACTTGGCATGGAAAGGGTCCAGCATCGTCACACAGTGTCTTTCTCTCAGTGGCTTTGCAAACACGAAGCCAGCTTCATGTGAAAGAGGAAAGAAGACATCACAATCAGAAAAATTCAATTAATCAAGCGAGGGGGAAAATACTTAAGAAAAAAAACAACAGCTATATGAATTTTTATATTTATTTCTTTTTGGCTTTTCAACATTTTAAAAAGCAGAAGTTGTACAACAACCTGAGGTTCAGTAAGTAATCTTTAAATTCTGTAAACAAAGACTGGTAAAACAAAGTGGTAATGCCTGCTACAAGAATATTTCTGTTCAGTTGTCAAACAAATTCATCAATGTAAGATCAATTATGAATTCTTACCAATAGATAAATTATTCTAATTTTAAAAAACTATTTCGTTAGTGTCAGTAACAACTATTAAGGGGATAAATGTGCATAATAATAATTATATTTAATTGATATTTCACAACTCAGATATTTTAGTCAACTCAAAATAATCAGAAATGACAATGCAATTGAGTGCAAGAAGCCAAATGTCTGTCCAATGCACCTGGGACTATAAGCATAGTTAGGGACAGTCCTAAAATTGCAATATAACCCATTTCAATATTTAGTACCTTATATGATTTTCAGCATAAAAATTTGCCATTATAGAGAGTGGCAGCCCATAAATATTTTATATCTGTGAGTTCAATTAATAAATCAATAGATAATTTAAAAAATGTGACAAATCACAGGGGCAGCACAGTGGTGCAGTGGTTAACATTGTCACCTCACAGCAAGAGGGGGTTCCTGATTTGAAACCAGGGTGGGAGGCTCCAACCCCTCTGTGTTAAGTTTGCATGTTCTGCACCCATCTTTACATTTGTTTTTCTCCCACAGTCCAAATAAATCCAGGTTAGGTTAATTGGTGACTCTAAATTGTCTGTAGGTGTGAATGTGAGTGTGAATGGTTGTCTGTCTCTATGTGTCAGCCCTGTGATAGTCTGGTGACCTGCTGGGATAGGCTCCAGCTCCCCTCTGACCTCCAACAGGATAAGCAGTTACAGAAAATGAATGAATGAATAACAAATAATGGTTATAACTTTCCTTAACTGTACATATTTCAAGGTTGTGATGTCAACAGCTTGCTCAGTCATGAATATGTTGACGTGAAACCACCTCTGATGTGTCTTCAACATTCCCTCACAATTTCTACAGTTGTTGTGAGATGAAAACAGTGAGACTGCTCTTAGAAAATCCCTTAGCATCATTATTAATGACCTATTCCTGTCTTTTGAGATCAGAGATTGTTAGGCTATGTTTGTTTTGTTACACATACAAACATACAGTATCCTGTCAGATGTGATTTCAAACTCTTACCAATGATAAAAGAAGAGCTGTATGCAATCATCATCA